TATGTATATAAATATATTTTTGTTATTATTTATATATATGTTCTTTCATGGAATTATGTTGGATATATGTAAATTGATATATGTATGACTTTGAGCATTGGTACACATGGATTTTCTAGGCGAATAGAGTTGATCGATTTTTTGTTTCAGTTGGGACGTTTTGGACTTCCTTTGTGTCTTTCCTGACTGTGTCTTGGCTGCTATCATGCAAAAATTCCAGCTTATTTCATTTAATCTAAAAAGAAAATAACTTTTAACGGCGTCTATACGGGTCCGCAACTGCCCAACGACTCGATGTGAATGTAACCTAAAATGTTACCACTGTACCCTTCTCTATAGACCCAAGGCAGCATTGTCTCAAATGACACTGCCTTCAGAGTTGCTGGAAAAAACCATGGTTGAAACTGGGAGTACCGGTTTTGGCGCACTGTTCCGTTCGCAGAGGGTCGATATGGAAAGTCTGCAGAAACATTTTCACTCCGTTCTGCTACAAGATTTTAGAAGACAGGTGTGTGTTTGTCAGTGTCTTCTAATAATGAATGTTTCAAGCAAAACTCCTTGTAATTATACGCCTGCAAACATCTATGTCAACATGGAAATTTTGTATGGTTTTTAATATTGTATTGAGCAATTAATGTGAACCTTATTTTGTGAAAAGCTATATGTTTTGCTGAGTAAATAACGATAGTAGAGCGATCATGCAAGGTGCCGGTCGTCCACTCCATAGTTGAGGAGTGGAAGTGCATTGATCTACTCGAGTGGCGCACTATTTCCAGTTTAGTATAAAGGCACCTCATTCCAATATTTTAAAATCTCCTCGACTCTGATTCAACCACTGCACTCTATTATTAAACGTTTTTGCGTTTTCGAACTCGAATCTGACAAACCACAGCTGACACTCGAGCAGAGGCCATCATACGAGAAGACCACTGTCTTTGGATTTTTGGATTTCTCACCCTTCATGACGGTATGTATCAGTATTTGCTATCCCGTGTGTGTGCGATATATCCTCGTGGGCGAGGTAGTTACCCTTATAAATGTGTATGCATGCGCTCTAATTCAATTTTTGTTATAGGCAATTTCGCGCTTTTAGAAAAAATGTTTGCGCTCCAAGCCTGTTGTCCATAAAATGTCTCGTTGCGAAAATGCACGTCCGTGCATTGATAAGTGTGTAGACTTCTTAAGCATTTACGCAGTTGCACGTATCACTATAACGACATGCATATCCCGCCAATCGTGAACTGTCTGCAACTCGCATGGTTTTAGCAATTTGTCTCTCTCGGGCACATTGCGGCTTGTTTATAAAATCGGGACTGTACAGAGCTTTACGAACATATTTGAGCGTCATTAGCGGGTTCCAGGACACTATCATCTACGACCACAATTGAATGTTATTAGAAGGTTCCAGGTTACCTCGTCGGCTCGAGAGTTTTTTTTGGGAATGAAATTCATAGTTGCTATAGGGAATTTTGATACCGCCTTTGTGAAGATCAGTGTGCGTGGCTTTCCCCCTGAAACTAAAATTGTTACGTGCTGACTCACTTATTTTTTTATTGTTCTGTAGTCTGCAATGGAGAGTGTCGTACAAGATAACTTCTCCATATGCTTCGAATGCATGCCCCGCGAGCCGTGGAATTGGAACCTGTATCTGTTCCCGATGTATCTACTAGGTGAGATCGATCAACAGGTGAACTAATTTCAAGATGATAATCTGCTTACCTTACCATATTGTCAAATACTGTAGAAGGTGATGGTTTTTAATTATGTGCCGAACATAGGGTACTTTCTCATATCCACCATGCTAAAATGTGTACTACTAACCACACTGTATATCTTCTACTCGTGCTGATATCTGATTTAGTTTGTTTGCAAAAAAGTGGCGCGTGACCATATATATATATATAGTATTGTATGTTCACTGCGAATGCTTGGTCAATCTCCTATCCGCACGCACATGTTTGCCCAAATAATCATTAATTCAGCAAGCACTCGGCTTCTTCTCACTTATTCGAATCGAGGGAAAGACGTATAACTAGCATGAACTTCCTTTGACTGCTATAGGTGTGACGGCCAGGTATCTCGTGCTGCTGCCTCTACGGCTTGGTATTGTCTTCTTGGGACTGCTCACTTACTTCGTGGGCTATGTGTTGACGTTGCTTATACCTCGAAAGTACAGCAACAGGAAGTTGCAGATACAGAGGAGATGTCTGCAATTGCTTGCCAACTGCTGGGTAGGGATTTTTGATTGGTTTGGAAAAGCACTGGTTTGTTTGCACCGATAATCTCTTGTCATACACTTGTTTGGATCTACCCTTCAGATTGCGGCTGCGCTGCTGTTGTATCCAAACCTGCTATAAAATTTTCCGCATGGTAGACTTCGCTGAAATGCAATTCTATAGTGCAGAACACAACCTCGTTCGTTTTGTATCCTCGAACGGTGCAACTCGTACCGGAACACGTGTCCTTTCCTCCGCTACTCCAGCTTTGTCGATTGTAGTGCCTTTCAGCGTACAGATACTTTTACCACATGTTTATTCTATATCGTGCCCTCCCAATCATCACATTCCGTGTGCAACAATTCGAAGCTCGCAGCTGCACCATATTCTAGCTTAGCATGTTCTGATTGTTTTCCCACCATTTTTGAAGCAAGGTGTGGCGCACATACTTCTCCCCCTGCTTCGACTCATGAATTCAAGCATGAGACTATGAGAACTTCCCTATGGTATTGATTTACGTGAATAATTGTAATTTCACGCTGCAGATAAATACAATTTCTCGGTATCACTCGTCAAACTCGGGCGTCGCATATTGCTGCACCTTTCAAATTGTTTAGGTACACCACACCGAGTCTTACATCTTGTTTTTCTTAACTTTCACAGGTGGCTTCGTGGGCGGGTGTCATCAAATACCACGGGTCCTGCCCGCCACCCGGGCCTAATCAGGTATACAGCATGTCATTATACTTATAGCTCGAAATCGAGAATGATAATTGTACAAGGTTACCCAACATGTGCTGGCTTATATATCTATTCAAGGTAAATATGATACAAGTGAAGATATGTCAAATATCCTTGGTGGTTTTAGATTTTTGGCATTTTTCTGACGCGTGGGATGTTCTGATTGTAAAATTTGTCTCGTGGCCCTAATCGCAGAAGACGCTTATAGCAGTGACCGCGATGATTATATGGAGATAATCACTCTTTGAGCATCCGCCAACCAATGTCGAGTACATGTTTCACAAATCAAAGTGTACAATTAAACCCACCAACTAAATTAAAGTTCCAACAGAGTGTGCTAGTTCCTTCCTATTTATCCCACACAGGTCTAAGATGATTCATATCGTGTATTTTTCGATACTGAAACTCTCATCACCTTCAACTCCGCATCGTCCGAACAGATTATAGTGGCCAATCACAGCACGGTGTTGGATATAATTCTGATGCTGAATGATCGGATAGTATCTCTTATCGGTCAGAAACACGGTGGAACTTTGGGCTTTTTCCAAGAACACGTGCTCAATTGCATGAACAATCTGTGGTTTGACAGGTGGGTCTATTACTCAATATATATTGCGCGTCATCGCAATTATCACAAGCTGATTGTGTAGAAGTCGCATTTGCACAGTTATTGTATGTTTGTCTGTATGTATGTATTTTTGTATGTGAGTATGTATTTATGTATTGTAGCTCATCAGAGATTCAAACCTCTTTCCAGGTGCCTCGCACACGTGCCGCATGTTTCCTCGCTCGTACATCCACTGACACTAAATTGAAAATGCAGGCTGGACACAAAAGATCGAACCTCTATGTCTGGGAGAATCAAAGAGCATATAATGGATCCAGCCTCGCCCCCGTTGATGTTGTTCCCAGAAGGTATGGCCGTTTGAGTTTGCGCATTGCTAGTCTAGCCAATGTTGGTGTAGTGACGTGCATCGAACAGGATGTACAGTTCAATTTGTACGTGAGTTGATACTACATTGCCGCTGGTATTGGATATCGCAGTGTGTTTGTAAACGAGTCATTTCGCTTCCATTTTGCCCTACCCGTTCGCACAAACACCACAAACGGTAATCCTTCTTGTCCAAATTTTTCGTTTTTCTAGACACGTATGCCGAATATAGTTGTACGTGTGCTGGCTGACTATAATCGCTTATCCGTCTATACTCGTCGGCCAGGTACCTGTGTGAACAATGAATATGCCGTGATGTTCAAGAGAGGTGCATTCGATCTCGATGCTACCATCATACCGGTAGCGATTAAGTACAATCGATTGTTCGGGGATGCCTTTTGGAACTCGAAGTTGCACTCCTTCCCGCGGTACTGCCTGCGTTTGTGGACAAGTTGGTGCGTGGTGGCTGATGTGTGGTATTTGGAAGCACAGACTATACGCCCGGGTGAAACCAGCATACAGTTCGCGGCCAGGTGAGTTGTTTTGCGGTGATGTATGCTTCGAAGGTCTATACGTTAATCACGATTTAGCTCATAGTAAACACATGGAGAGCGATACTTCTAAGTTCTCCCGTACCTGTGTGTAGGGTTTTCTCACGGAAGCATACAAACATATGTCGCTATCAAGCAGGATGTGAGTAGATTTGGTTCCAGGATACTACTATTGAATTAGGGCTATCCGAACTATTCGTAGCTGTGCATGTGTATATATTTTGCAGCCAGCTGATAACGCACACTCCACCACCAATGTCACGCGCCGTACGTATATCCGTGTGAGCTCTGTATCATTCTATGACACTCCCTGCCTTAATCTACGGTCCTTTCTATCTTGGTGAATTGTACAACACATGCATTTATTATTTTATAGTCTACCCTACGAAACCGCTACTTTTTGCAATCTACCGTTATCGTCCCAGAGTGAAAGAAATGATCTGCACGCAGGCTGGGCTGACATCCGTGCCCTGGGATGGGTATCTCAAGTATTTCCGCCCCTCTGAGAGAGAGAAGAGAGCGAGACAGGCTGTGTTCGCTGACCTCATCAAGCAGAGATTCGATCTCAGCTGAGATATCGGCAGAATATGTGTATGAAGCTGGAACTCCTGAGTAAAGGCATCGGTTTGCACGCAGGGGAGCTGTGCAAACTGGCTGCGTATGCAGTAAGGTTTTGCAGTCAGGTAACGAAGCGCGGAAAACAGTGTATGTGATCAAATATCGAAACCTTTACGGACGCGTCACCAAACGATCATTTGCCCACCATATGCTCCGTGCGTGATTTCCACGATACAATTTCTTCCATGGGGTTGGATATCGCGTACTCTATTCTATAATACCTATTTGTCGACAACGTACTATGTACGCATGTATTCAATCCATGTCGTCAATTAGCAGTATCACACGCCAACGTACCTACCGTGGCTCAGTTTTACAGCCGATACGAGTTGCACGTCTCGTAACCAACCCATGGGCGATCAGATTAGCCCTTTTTTTCTACGACTCTTTCGCTGAAGGCTCTGTTGCAGTATTTCTGACGTACACTGGCTGAGCAGAATATCTAGTGAGTCACAATAAAGCACAGCGGGAACTGAGAAGATCTAAACGTTTATATCTTCTCGCTGTACGCAGAAATTGGATGCGATCTTGTAAGTACGCATCTATCGAAATTGAGCTTTTATCTCCAGCTTTCGTAGACAAGCACTAAGCTCGCGACCGTCTGTCATGGTGGATCAAGTGTGTCTGGTGCAAACCTTTCAGACAAAAGCATGAAACGTTCATGTTTTCAAGAGGACGAGATATTCGCAGGCACGCTATTCTCATGTAGCAAGGCCTGCGCAATCAAACAAAGTTTTTCTTCTGGGACATATGCTCAAATATGAAAATCCTATTCATAGAGTATTCTGTTCATTTTTTAGATATATTGTGAACCTATATAAATACTGATATCTCAGTGGTCTGTGAGGCCCAGTGAGCCGTTGGTATGGCAAAAAAGCCACAGAGATCGACCACTCTCGTTCCTTCAATTTGTACTGATATAAAAACTTTATTACTTTTTTCCTCACCAGATTCATTCTTAAGGACGCGTCTTTATCGCGTAAACCCACAGCCATCTAACACTGAAATCTGCTTACTCGAGCATTTTCTCGATTTCTGGTTTGTAATGCTGGTTGATTTTGTTTCGCTGCAACTTCAAACTGGCAGTAACCAGTCCACCCTCAGGCAGCCAGGTTTCAGGCTCGACATAGACTTTTGCGGGAGTCTCAAACCTGGCGAGCTTGTTCTTCTTCGCCTCATCCTGTAACGATCTAAGGACTTCGGCGACCACTTTGAGGTCCTTGCAGGTTTCTTCAAAGCTCTGCAGAAGTGAAAGGAAGATATTAAACTAATGAGCTCAGGAAAATCCCCATGGTCGATGTCGATATAGCGCAGTGCTCAGAAAACAACGCCCATCAAGAAAACATGGAGTACGCGCTTCCCTAATAAAAACTACACACACAACATGATAAAAAGTCAAGTTGCTTCGTACACATTATTGAAAGTAAAGTGCAAAGGTGGCGTAAAAGTTGTTGAAAGTAAGGTGAAGACTCCAGTCCTTCATAAAGTTAAACTTGATATATACATAACACATTGACATAATTCGAAGCCTCAAGCACTTACACTTCCAGCACATCCGTTCTTCTGAGCCCATTCTGACACGGCGGGCGAGAGCACCGTGACAATGGCGATACAGTAGGAATGGAAGGGATCCGCATACACGCACATATTGTCGATATAATTGGCAGCCTTCAACATGCTCTCGACCTTTCCGAGCGACACATACTCCCCCTGCTGAAGTTTGACCAGATCTTTCTTGCGGTCGATGATTTGCAGAGTACCATCGGGGTGCATCTGTAGGAAAATGAGTGTTGAGAATTGTATTTGCATATGACTTCGTGTGCATGTGCTTTATGATCGGAGTAGTCCACCGTTGACGCTCAATATTGTATATCTATAGAGGCATGATCTCAAAGTAGAATGATATATACCCATGATATACAACAATTGGTATAACTAGCACTAGAGATTCACCAAAATGGCACAATGCGAACTACCCTTACCTGACCGATATCTCCGGTGTGGAACCAGATTTTGCCATTCTCATCTGGTTTGAACTCCTCTGCGGTCCTATCAGGCATGCGGTAGTATCCTTGTGAGATACTGCCACCACCAAGTACAATTTCACCTCTGGGCATCCCAATGTTCTGTAGCCGACAATCCATGTGATAGAATTTAGTCGTTGTGAGCGCAAGAATAAATACGAGCTGTCCGATGGGTCATTCAGCAAGAACCCACGGCTGGACAATACCACCTTGCGTCGGCACATCGGAACACAATTTCAATCTTCAATATGCCGCTACCGATACCGATACAGTACATGATTGAATTTGCACCGAACTACATGAATCAATATCACCTGCACAGACTAATAGTCAATGTACACAGCGTGCATCTGCAGAAAAACTCGTGCAACTCGGCGAATACGTGACCGTGGTTGCCTAAAATCACCTTGTTCTTGAGATCGGCGACTCGATAGTTGCCCTCCTCCCAGTCGACCATCTTCAAATTGATACTGCTGAAGGGGCCACCTACTTTACCGTACGAGTTCAGATCGGACGTGGAAGCTACGGTGCCTGCAGAGCAGGTCTCGGTGAGACCGTAACCCTAAAGAAGGGTGCATGATGAGAAAATATTTAGGAAGCCGCTTATTAGTATATAGTAGGATGCCGTGGACAACTGTATATGCGACGACACGGGGTTGGGTTGCATTCGATAATTCGTATAAATAAATATGAACATGTTGTGAGTTAGACGTGCATTGAATCTAACATTGACCACCCGTGAGTAGTATTGGCCAACACTTATGAAACTTCCCCTTCACTATTAAGAACTCCAAACATCTACATACAAATATACACCCAGCTTTGTGAGATTACACTCACTGCAAACAAGTATGACAGAGGTACTCGGACTTATATTAACGTCCTCGCATTCAATTGCGATTGTATTCTTACCTGGCAAACGGGTACACCGAAAACGACGTTCATAAAACGTTGAGAATCTGCGGCCAAGGGTGCACCTCCGGAGAAAATGGCCTTAATGTTTCCACCAAGTACAATCTATAGATAGAAGTGTGGAATTCATCGTACCCAGTGTTAAAACAAAAAGAGATATGAAATTAGAAAGAATTGAGTTTTCGCTTTTTAGAAGTCTTTCTAGCGTATTACTTGTCTGTGCGTGTTATTGACTTGTCTATTTTGTAGGCCACATAAGCATTCAAGCCAGTGCGAGAAATAAAAGCATCCAGGAATAAACTATTACGGGTGATAAATGTTCAGTGACTCCGAAGCTTCTATCCCGTTTACAGTTTGACAAATAAATAGCAAACCTGTCTTTCAGATAAGCACAATTGACTAAGTCACGGAATTGTAACTCCGTAAAAAGCCCAGAATCGACAAAGAGGCATACCTTGATCTTGTTGAATACGATAGCGTCCCAGATAGGGGTGTGCTTTCCATGTGAGTATGCCTCGTTTTTCGACTTGAAAGCACGATTGAACAGCTTCTGCACAATGGTAGACCCCGCCGCGACTTTACCGGTAACTGCCTGCCTGATACGATCCATGATAGTAGGTACGGCCGCCATGTAGGTAGGGCGCAACTCCGAAATGTCACCTTTGGTACCGAATTTGATCTTGGGGGAGGTGTCAGTGAGTGTGAGTGCACTGCCGTAGCCAATCATACATCCCTGTGTTGATAAATACATTTGCAAATGAGAACATACTTATCATTCATGGCAGAAGTGGATGGATTGTTGTTTGCACAGGTACGATGCCATTGATAAAACATTCGCAGTATTATATAAGAAGCGTGCTAGTATACCTGAGACAAAAGGAACATCTCCGCACACAAGGCGAAGATATGTGCGAGCGGCAAAAAGCCAATGAAACAGTCTTCTCCCGGAACTACAGAGGGAAGCCCGTGCTTGAAGCCAATCATGGTGGTCACAACGTTGTAGTGCGTCAGCATGACACCCTTAGGGAGACCAGTCGATCCTGATGTGTACATAATTACGGCAATATCATCCTTCGCCGGGGGCGTGAGCTCTTGATCGTTGTTCTCACCACCCATCTTGACGATGTCCTCGAAGGCGTACAGAGTGATTCCCTGTTGTACAAGATGATGGAGTTTACGGTACAAAGGGCTTTGGCTTGAGCAAGAATAAACGTCGTTGGGGTATAGTCGAGCGCTATACCTTGTATCTTGAGCCCTGACTACCCTCATGAAACGCATAGTTTATGCAATAAAGAGATTGAAAATAAATCCGAAACGCGGGTAAGTACCGTTCGTTGATTATGTAACAAGACAAGCAGCTTATGTGAAAGGAATTCAAGATATTCCACCATACGTGTACAGTACAGATATTTTTAAGTTCGATAGAACAAGACAAGAAATGGCAGCGGTGCACGACCAAACGCGAGCTACCAAACTACATGCACGAGGTCATTTAACATCAAATCGCGGTTGACAGTCCTGGGCTGGCACATCCGACACGCCCCGCGACATTTATAATACAATCAAGCAGCTCTAAATATACCTCGGGCAGCTCAATTCCGGCAGGCTTCTCACCAGAGTAGATTATACTCTTAAGACTGGGGCAGTCTTTTGCAACCTTGGCGATGGCAGGCAATAACTGACCTTCGGTGATGACAACTGATATGTGGGAATTGAAGAATCTGTCAGATAAAGACGATCGCTTCGAGAATAGAAACAATACAATATTCCAGTCGTTACGTTAAAGGTAACTGATAAAGAAATATTATATCTCAGTCATGAACGTTAAACGTAACTGATAAAGAAATATTATATCTCGTCATGAAGAGAAACTGATAGCATGGTGATGATATATCTGTTGCCAGCTAAATCCCCGATTTAGTGTCAAATTGTAGAATTTGAATAAAATTGAAAAATTAAAAGTGTATTCAGATTCGTTTGCTGCAGTCAAGTGAGATATAATTATCTATACCACACACACACATAATATCCCACGATCATCCAAACTTAATCAGGAGCAAACACACTCGCATATTTGTTTCTGAATCATTCTGTGGTTTTAATTGTCTATGAACATGAACCATTACGTGACTTTGTCGGTGACTTACAGTTGAATAATGACATAAAAATGGACCGAACAATGCTTTTTTACCCCAAATCATGCAAGCACGCGAGTGAACCAAAATGCCCACTTTAGGAATTTTCAAGGTATAGGGTGTGCATACATGGAAAGGTTTTTAATTAGATACCACATCCGGATAATCCAAATTTTGATAAAATTATATAGAGAAATCAAACAATACGATACAAGAGTCACATACCTGGCGTCTCGGTTTGATTAAATCCATAAGCTAGAGCTTCTTCGCCTAGAGTAGCATAGATGGTGGCAATCACGATGTTGCTTTGAAAGCATCCCTGCGCTGCGATATGCCAATCGGCCATCTGTATGCATACAAATACCAATGTCGTTTCCTCAGAAACATAAAAAGTATTCTCCCAGATTAACGATTTCAGTAAAGCGAATTCAACAGAAATAATATATTCAAATAAAATACTACCTATACACCAAAGCTGGGCTAGCGCCACGCAGAAATGCGACTATTCAGAATCGGCAGCGAGAGTGTGTGTGTACTAGACTCGGTCCCCCTGTTTCTCGGGTAGCGCCGATGCAATTATTTTATTGTTAAAACATACACACTTTTATTTTCTACTTAAAACACATACTCGAGTGGCAGATAAGCTCCAATATACATCAAGTATTAATATCCAAACAGGATCCGGACATTATTTAATGATATACACACCATGATTTCGCCATTTGAAGATTAAACACGTATCAACCTGTGCCATTCACATTCGGAAGTACTTACGGTGTTCATGAAGATGCAAACATTCGACTTGGGCTGGATGCCTATGCTTCGAAGTCCCTTCGCGAAACTGATGATGCGCGTATTCGTCTGTGCGTAAGTAATCCAGTTGTATTTGGCATACGTACACTTCGAAAGTACCTTGCCTGTGATAATTGGGCATATATTAGTATCATTAATTTACCGATTCATTCGAGTGAACTAACTCTCAAGAAGCAGTGTCAAAACATACAGCCACATATTCGTACATTACAAGACAGAATTCAATATGGCTTTTCCGCATGCATCTTTCCAATGAGCATAATTGGGGAATATATACATACACACACATATATATATATATATTAATACCACCGTAAAAACTGTGAAAGTACCTACTTTCCTACTTCAAGGGAGTAAGTATAGAAATAACATGGCAATCAAAGTTTGAAGAATGTGTCGGATAGGCAAGGGCGGCTCACTCGATCATACATTTTAGTCAATATGAAGGATGTGCAACTTTATTCAATTGCCAACTAAACTGTACAGGAAAGATGCAACGGCTTTATCGGCTCATATGAGCTATAACGATGTGCATAGTGAGGAGTTAAAAGTCATTAAGTAGCATTAAAATATATGCTAGATACTCGCAATCTATCAAGCGATGAAACGAATATCGTATATATA